AGAAGCCCTCTAACATGTACTGACTCTGCGCCATCTGTCACCGAAGGCGACACCGACATCCGGGCACCACTGTCCGTATGGTGCGCCGGAGGGGGGAGGGGGAGCGCGCGGCCAGGGGCTTTGTCTTTCCACTCGGGCTCCGCCCCCTTCTTAAAGGCACCGCGCTCGGCCACGCCCGGAGATGCGCGGGTGGGGAGCGCGGAAGGAGTTGGCGGGAAGTAACCCGGCGACTTTATCGGCGTAGGTTCTGCTGAGAGGTAACTTGCGGTTCAGGTTGGGTTCCCCTAAAGTTAACTTCTAGACGAGAGTGGGGTATTAGTATAATGCTTGCTTCTAGGGGTTTGCTGGAAAGGATAATATAGAAGCTTCGTTGGAAAAATATATTAAAGGACATGTCTATTAAAGATAAATTCATTCACTCATATAGTCTTTTCTAGCACCTAAAATGTTCAGGGCCCTACGTGGGGTGCAACAGGGGAAGAAAATAAGACAGCGACTACTGCTCTGAAAAGAATAAGAAATAATCACCGTTCTATGTGATGAATGCTATGCATAGGGTGCAGTAGGGAAACCGTGCCTGGAATGAGAACGTTTGAGCTACTTCTCTAAGTAGACTACAGTCACTCAAAATGTGTTTGCCCATCCAGTACAGTCAGAAACACGCTTATTAATCATTCATCCCTATCAAATTGTTTTGTTTGTTGTTGTTCAATCGCTAAGTTGTATCAGACTCTTTGTGACCCCCTGGACTGCAGCACACCGGGCTCCCCTGTCCTTCACAATCTTCCAGGAGTTTGCTCAGATTCATGTCTATTGAGTCGGTGGTGCTACCTAATCATATCATCCTGTCATCCCCTTCTCCTCCTGGCCTTAATCTTTCCCAGCATCAGGGTCTTTTCCAATGAGCTGGCTCTTCCCATTAGGGGGCCAAGGTATTGGAGCTTCAGTTTCAGCATCAGTCCTTCCAATGAATATTCAGGATTGAAATCTGGTTTGATCTTGCAGTCCAAGGGACTCCCAAGAATCTTCTTGTTTACTGCCTTGGTTCAAAAATCTGCGGCGGCCCAAGGACAGCTTTCCGGCCGAGGCGTCCCTGAATGGCAACGTGCTAACGCCAGACCTGCTCTGTTCCCACCTCAAAGGCAGAAGGGTCACTGCCAGTAAAAGGCGAGTTCTCATTTTTCAACTGAAAAATGCACAACCCAAAAGTTGTGAATTATGTTTTATTTGGCAGACAAAACCAAGGACTTAAGCCCGGGTAACAGCATCTCAGACAGTCTGAGAGACTGCTCAGAAGTAAGGGAGGAGCCAGGATACGTATAGGAGTTTTTGCAACCAAAGCCATGTAGTCAGAACACCGAAAGATTACTGGGATTTTTGTTTGTTTTTTTAAATGTTTATTTGGCTGTGCTAGGTCTTAGATGCCACATGCAGGCTCTTTAGTTGTGGCATGCAAATTCTTAGTTGAAACTTGTGGAATCTAGTTCCCTGATCTGGGATCAAACTCAGGCCTCCTGCTTTGAGAGCAAGGAGTCTTAGCCACTGGACCACCAGGGAAGTCAAGAAAGATTACTATTAAAAGAAAACCAAGTATCTCAAGTTGAGGAATTTAGTGCTTCCCTATATATGGGAAGATGCAAAAGTTTCAGCTCACTGAAATCTTCCCTTTGATATGCACCTCAACTATCTACAGCCAGTATCCTGTGCTTTTTCATCCTGAGTTTCCTGGGGAGGGTGGACCTAGATGGCAGGCATCCTGTTTCTATCCCAAGTTCCCTTCCTTCGGCCAATGAAAGTTGATGGCTTGATGCCTGCAACATCTTTGTTTACTGATATGGCAGGCAACATTTTTTTTCCCCCACTGATCTAGGTCAGACATCAGCTCTATGAAGCCCCTTCAAACCATCTAGCAGCAAAGAGAGCTCATCTCCCTTCAGTAGCCATTTCTTCTAAGAGGATTAGGAGAAACCTCAGAGGCTGTGGCATTTGAGCTGATTGTAAAGAGATGAAGTTGCAGCTTGCTAGGCAGAGAGAAAAGAGGGATGGACATCCTTCCTAGGCAGGAGGAGCAGCAGACCAGACATGGTAAATTCGGGGCCTAATCATAGGGATCTCCAGGCAGAAAGTATCAAGAGAGGAGAATGGCAAAGGGAAGCTCTCTTTCTGCCACAGCATGTGAGGGTTGAATGGGAGTGACCACGTGGAAGGTAATGGCAGGAGCTTGTGGCGGTGATGGGGCATCAAATGGTCAGCAAGGTCGGTGAAGACAAGTAGCCGGACTTGAGAGGCACAGACAAGATGACTAATGGGATGGATGCTTGCAGGACTAGACACCTAATGGCAGACTACATGCAGAGTGAAAACTCCAAAAACATTGGGGGGAAAAGATGGGGGGCCATTTTTGGTATTTCCAAAAACACACCCAGTTGCACATCAGAAAAGGCACCATAGTCATTCCAGCGCTTGTGGCCGCTGTGGACCAGAACCCAGCCCTGGTGCTGGTAAAGCAGAGATCTAAAATGGGAGACTCAGGGATGGGCTCAGGCTCAGCCCTAAGAACTAGAGGTACCCTGGCGAGCCATCAAGAACAGCTGGAAATCCTGCAGATGGAAGTGGAAACTAGAGGTGGGGCTTTATTAATAGAGAATATCAGCTGCAGCTCCATGAAAAGGAGCTGAGAAGTGGCTCTCCAAATAAAGAACAGTGCTTACCTTGGAGATGGGAGTTATGGGTTGTTGTTTTTTTTCTTTCATTATATTTTCATGTATTTTTCCAGTATGTTTTTCTATAGTGATATTTTCATTTTAAAATAGAAAAAATAATAAGCTTTAATGTGACTGTTGCTTAGTTTTCCTCCATTTCTATGGCTCCACTTTAACACCCATCTTTCACTGATATAGACTTACACCTTTGATTAGACAGTTTCAGCTTGTCACTTTTTCTCATTGTGCCATGCAACTTAAGAGGATAGTTCCCTGACCTGGGATCAAACCTATGTGCCCTGTAGTGGAAGTCTGGAATCCTAACAACTGGATGGCGAGGGAAGTCCCTACAGTTTCAGCTTCTGGCTGGTCTTTTCAGGCCTGTCCTGTTGGTTCCTAAACCTCAGAAGGTCCCAAATCCACTTTTGTTATTTCCCTTCCCTCCATCACCTTGAGGGAGGGGCAAGTGGGAAGTGAGGGCTTAAGGAGTACGGGTTTCTGCTTGAGGCAATGAAAATGTTTGCAGCTGTATAGTGGTAATGATTGTGCAATGCTGTGAATGCATTTAGTACCACCAAACTGTGTACTTTAAAATGGTTAGGAGAAGGCAACAGCACCCCACTCCAGTACTCTTGCCTGGAAAATCCCATGGACAGAAGAGCCTGGTGGGCTGCAGTCCACGGGGTTGCAAAGAGTCGGACATGACTGAGTGACTTCACTTTCACTTTTCACTTTCATGCATTGGAGAAGGCAGTGGCAACCTACTCGTGTTCTTGCCTGGAGAATCCCAGGGACGGTGGAGCCTGGTGGGCTGCCGTCTATGGGGTCGCACAGAGTCGGACACGAATGAGGCAACTTAGCAGCAGCAGCAGCAGCAATATAAGCCTCAGTAATTTTTAAACTCTCCAGGTGAATCCAATATTCAGCCAACTTTGAGAATCAGTGCCCTAAATACTTTGTATAAATAAAATGTCAAACTGGAAAAAAAATAAATAAAATGGTTAAAATGGTAAATTTTATGGTTGTGTATTTTACCATAATAAAAAGTTAAAAGAAAAACTTAAGAGTCAGCCACCTAAGGACCTGGAGCTGTGGGAAATACATCCCATGTACACAGGGTTGTATTCGGCTTACACAGGGGCAGAAGTATAACTCAAAGGACGTGACAACCTCAGAGTCTCCAAATCATTGTCACTGAAGTCACTCTATGGGAGTCAAAGACAACTGGCAGGGCCCAGCCCGCAGTGACTTCACAAGCACTCAGCCACCATCACCACCAGCCCCTGCCCCCACAACCCTCAAGAATGAAGCACTCAGCTGCCAACAAGACATATTTCAAATAGTTTAATTTTAAAAATATTCTATTCAGTGCTAAAATATGTCTTCACTCACCGTTGTCCATTTCCATTTTCTTAAACTTTTTTGAAACAAAAAATAAAATCACAAGGTTTGATGAAACATGCAGATTTCAAAGAAAAGGAAACTTTCTAGAAAGTCTGGGCTGAAGAAGTACTGTGGGCATGAGTACTGTCAGAACCTCAAATTCTCGCTGGGGCAGAGTCTGCGGCAGGAGAGCTGGGAACCATGGCAGGAGGCAGGGGGATACTGGAATGAAATGTCCAGGTGGAAACAACTGCGAGTATGTGCGTGTATGTGTGTTGGGGGAAGGGGGTGGTTACAGTGGGGGGACAAAGGACTGTCAGCAGCCAGAGAGCCCATGAGAGGCAGGATGGCCTCAGGAATGGGTACAAGTGCCAGGATAGCATGAAGTCTAGGTGGGACTTTTCTGCCGTCGTGTGGAGTTAAGCCCTTCCCTTCCCTCCAGAGTCTACTCAGGCATTCTCCAACAGCAGCCTATAGGGTCCCTAGCCCTATGGGCAAGTCCATGAATCTACAGTCTCCATTCAAGTTCAAGTAAGCCCTCGGCACGCTCTTCTCTGGAGGGTGCCTTCCCCCTCTCTTTCCTCTTGCAGAGGCACCAGCAGCTCAGTCCAGAGGCTGTGGAGCAGAGACTGCTACTGGAGGTGACAGATGATCCTGGAGTGGCTGAGGCGCCAGCCTCCTTGGGGTGCAAAGAGGACAGGAGTGCTCCTCTTCTCAGGGTCAGGCAGACAGAGGTGCCAGGGATGGGAAGATGATGCTACGACCCCAGGTCCCACGTCCACCTTCCAGCCCAGAAGGCTCTGAGGTGCAGGCTCTGGACCTCGGTGCTCGCCCTTACCCCAGCAACACACAGCCAGAACCAGAATGCAATAAATAGAGGCATGGGGCCTGGAGGCGAAGGGCGCCAGGGTGGTGCTAGCTTTCTGACGCTGTCTGCGGCACTGCAGGCTGGTCCATACAGAAGCGTTTCAGGGGAGGGGCACTTGAGTCTTCCTCTTCCTCAGCAATCTAGACGTAGCCAGAGCACGGAATGACAGGGCCATCCCTCTGAAGCAGGCCTCCCCTTCGACCCTAACTGTCTCACCCGACTGTCTCACTAATCACAGGACCTCTTCCCTACCTCCTGACCTTCTAACCTTCCCCAACCTTCTAACCAGCATCCCTCACTGCCTCCCCACCCCCACTACATCCCTCCCATGCTAGAGAGCCAGTGCACATCAACAGAGCCCTGACATTTTCCTTAGAAACCAGGAAACCCAAAGCGCCTCCTTACCTGTGTCTCTAGAGGAACTGGTTCTTCCTTCGTGAGGGTTGGAGGTTCATCAGCAACTTCCGAGGCAGGCAGGGAGGGCTCTAAAAAAGCAAGATCAGTGTAACTGCAGGGCCTGCTAGGACGGGAGAGCCCCCAGGCTGGGGAAGTGTTCCTAGGAGGCGCCTTGGTGAAGGGGTATCCACTGGTTATAGAATCAACATACATTCTAAGAAGAAATTTGCAGAATCCAGTACAAAGGGCACTAACTCTGAAGTCAGAAGGAATGAAACAAATCAGGCAGTTCCACCAAATGTGGGATCCTGGCCAGCAACTGAACTTTTTAAGACAACTTCCTCATTGATAAAATGGAGACAACAGTTGCTATTCCATGGGCTTTTCGAAAGGAGAATCATGTTTGCTGTTTTAGTCACTAAGTCATGTCCAACTCTTTTGTGACCCCATGGAATGTAGCCTGCCAGGCTCCTCTGTGGGATTTCCCAGCAAGAATACTAGAGTGGGTTGCCATTTCCTTCTCCAGGGGATCTTCCCAACCTAGGGATCGAGCCCGCATCTCTTGCACTGCAGGCAGATTCTTTACTGCTGAGCCACCAGGGAAACCCGAGAATCATACCAGGCCTCAAATATGAAAAGTGCCTTCCTTGCGGAGAGCCTGGCACTCATCGTGTTGCTGTTTCTTTCCATCATTCTGTGAAAGGGGAAAATACAACCATTCCCCAAAAGAGCCTCAAACAACTGACAAACAGCTTGAAGTTGCCAGTTCTGAGGCACCATCTCTAACCTGTGACTCTAAAGAAGAAAACCATCGAGAGCAAGAGCATGGCCCCTCCAAGACACACTTCCTGGGCCAGGGAGACTCACCCTCAAGGATCTCCTGGCCCAGCGTGGGGGGCTGGGAGTCGTCTGTGCGGAAGTCAGAGGTGTGCGCAGGGCTCAAGGACTCGCTCTGCTGGGGGCTGGGGCTCGAGTTGGTGCTGCTGTCCACCTTGAGCTGGTAGACATCAGACACGGAGCTCTGGTTGCTGTTTTCATCTGAAAATCACACACGACAAAGGCAACAGCTGAGGCCGGTCACGCTCGAGGGGGCTCAGTACAGAGCCAAGGGCCTGGGGTCTCTGCAGACAGCGTGGACACAGCTGGGCACACACCGATCACAGCTGCAAACAGCCCCTGAACCAAGGGCAGACATTCCCAGGGCTTCTGCACATCGCAAATTACCAACAGAATCTAAATTGATGAATTTAAGCACATGTTATTTTATGACATATATCCTAAGCACCACCGGATGCAGCCAGAATCTTTAAGTTTATGCAAAATTTATATGTCAGAGAGGTCAATATAAGCATATGAGTCCCTTCTTTAGTATCCACTAATTATAGCTGGGACCTAGTATTTTCTCACTATCCAGTGAATGAAAGGACATGGCTCTGCCTCTCAACCTTTCTCACAAGTGGTGTAGAAAATGACAGTCTGCCTGCCATTCTCAGCTATCTGAAGGAGGGTGACGGGTCTGGAGATGGTCGGCTCAGGCCTTGCACCTGCCCAGGCTCTGCCTCACTGCCTCACGGACCACTGGATCCCACCTGGGAAGCGCTGTTGAAGGCTTAACATCACCAGCTAAGTTAAAAACCGACTCAACAATTCCTTCCTCTCCCCCACCTCCAGCAGCCAGTCACCAAATTGTACCTGTCCTACTGCTCTGATGCCATGTGTATCCACTCCTTCCTCCTCCACTGCCTCAGTGCAGGCCTGGCCTCTGGCAACAGCCATCCAGCTGCCCTTCCTTGGGTCTCAGCTACGCCCAGCGACCTCACACCACGGCCAGAGTGAACTTTCTAAACCCTTCTGTGGTTCCCTGCTGCCCACTAGAGGGCCCTATCACATCCTACACACTGCTCTCCAGGCCCACTGCCAGCCCTTCTTCCTATGTACCCTTGGCTCCAGCCAGGTCGGACCCAAACCTCAGAGCAGCTACCAGCACCATGTCTGGTATGACGTGCTCCTTCCCATCTTCCTGCAAAGCCCCTACACCTGGCAGCCGACCGCTCAGGCATCCTCTCCTCTGCAGAGCCCTGTGTCCCAGGCTCCCCTGGGTGGTGACGACCACCCCCTCTCATGCCCCTGCTGCTTCCTGCGCGCACCTGCATTTACTGTATTCACACCGGTCTCCCTCCAGGACACCCGGTGCAGGTAGCCTCTGTGGCCCACAGAGGCCCTTGTGTCTCTAGCACAGTACATGGTACCCGGCACCCGGTAGGAGCGCGTTAAACGTTCACTGCGTGGAAAGGATGAGACGGTGGCCAGGCTGAAGAAACGGAGCCTCCCATGCCCCCCGAGCTTTATGCTGTGGGGACGGCTCACGCAGCTGGAGAGCTGTCCCCCCTCTGTACCGCACCAACCTCGGGGTTAGGGGAGAGGGAAGGAGGGGATACCTGGTGTTCCCAGTCTAGCTCCAAAGAGAAAATCTTAAGCCTTTTCTAGTCTTCATCCTACAATGATCACTATCTTCTACACTAAAATGGAAGTAGCATTTTATTATACAAAATAATAAAGTCCTGTCACTCTTCAGCTTAGGTAGATACTTTTCTTCTCCAAGTATCAGTTTCCTTAAATTGGGATGATGGTAACTGCCTGGTTTGTATCCCAGGCTGATGCAAGGGTAAAAAGGAGTCACTGAAGTGAAAGTGCTTCATAAGCAGTAACTACCACACAGGTATAAAAGGTAAAGTTCTCAGTGCAGTGCTGACTCCGGCCAGACGTCTACCAAAGACTGGTTTAGGAGGCAGAACTTGGACAAACTGTAGACAAACAAGCAGATGCCCCAGCCTGGGTTGGGGGCGGGGTGGGGTGGGGCGCGGCCCTCTGAAGTGCTCTCATCAAACACACAGTCTAAAGAAAAGAGCTTCTGATCCAGAAAACCAGGACCTACCATGGGTCCTCACTTACGAGTGACTAACTTTAGATACGTAACCTCACGTCCCTGAGCCTCAGTTTCCTTAACTGGAAAGTGAGGAGACTGTTGTCTGTCTTGCAAGGTTACTGTGAAGTTGAAATGCAAAGACTTCTGTCAGGTGCCCGGCAAGATACCAGCAAAACCGTGGGCACTGAAATGACACACAGACTAGTCTTCGGATTATTGATGGGTCATTTAAATGTTCATTTTCCTGCAAGGAAGACATAAGGATGCAACTCACCCTGGAATTCAAGAAGGAGAGAGGAATTGGCTGAGGCATCAGAGGGAAAGCCATTAGGTTCCCGGGCTGCGGAACTGTTCGATTTTGACTTTTCTTTCTAGAAAAGGAAAAAAAGAGGAATATGACAGAGCCAAGCAGAAGACTCACAGAGAGAGAGAGAGAAGGTGCTGAGACACCACAGAGGTCTGGATTAGGAACATGAGGAACAACAGTGGTTTCAGGACCCAAGGAATAACAGGATCCTGGACAAGGTGTTCCCAGGCCTCAGTGGCTCTATCAGTAAAATGGACCCTTCCCATTTTAATCTCATGACTCACAAGAGACAGGGAGCTATATACATCTGCTTCCACTGGAGTTCTCTGTGGGACCCTCCTGCTTTCTGCCCTCATCAGAATGCTCTGCCCGATCCTTCCCTACATGGATGGGTAAGAATTACAAAATACTCATTTGAGAAAGATCCCTGTTTCAGGAGCACAGCTAGGGGTAAAAAGTAAAAGAAGAAAGGCCCTTTGACTGGACAAAGGAAGGAGTCACTATATATGTAATGTGAGCAGGGACAGGACAAGGGGTCCCTACAAGCTCTACTCCTGACCTATCTACCCCATCCACTCAGTGACCTCCCATGTCCACCTCTGCCTTCAAGCAGATGCAAGTCACATGGGTAGGGGAACCACAGTGGAAGGTAAGCACTAGCTTGCAACACACCAACCCACAGGAAAGGCAAACACCAACCCAAGCATTTGCAAATGAGAGCATCCTCACAGCTGGAATTTCAAATCTGGACAATCCCAAACTTACTAATCCATACTTCACATACTTGTCACTCTATTGTACATGCACTGTACTAGTAACACAGCTTAGTTTTTGTGAATACTCTCAATCCTAACTCAGCAATAAGTCAACTGTACATATATGTGTATGTAGTCCTTTCCTTCATGTTTTATATGCAGACATAATTTTACTGCAATTACTCTTTACCATTTAACTACAGAGGCTACCTAAATATGATTTTTACTGGCTGCATAATATTCCAGGTATCATACTCATTCAATCGCTACTCAACTAGTGGACATTTAGCTTTACCTTATTTAAGACTGTGTTTGTTTAGTACTAGTAGAAATAAATCTACAATGCTTAACTTTTATTTTTTCCTGGATTATTTCGCTAAATTCACACCAAAAAAAAAAAAAAAAAAATCCCTTCTAAATCAGAAAGTAAAAACATATTTCTCTTAAAATACCCTGTGCCTCCCTACTCTCTACCAGAAGGTTGGCAATACATTTGGAGTATGAGCATCACAGCACCCATGCCAACTTTTGGTGTTACTGTTATTTTTTCCTGATCTCTCATTAGTTCAATGATTCTGTGCTCAGGTAAAATATGCTCTCACCATAAGAAATTCTGAAAATACAGGAAAAGAAATTAAAATCACCTGCACAACCAGAGAAACCCGAAACATATAACTGTATCGAAATGGACCATGATTCAGTATTATAACCTGCTCCCCCGCAACTCATCAAAAACATTTTCCTATGCCATTGAGTAGTTTTTTTAGACCACCTTTTACAAGGGTAACAAAGCTGTACAATATACGGGTGCACAATAACAATTCTTTACAGCTAAGCTCTTCATCTTGCTTGCAATTTTTAAATACCATGAACAATACTGCAGCACTCAACACAGCAGATGTCACTTGTACACATCATGATTATGTCCAGAGAATAAGTGTCTAGAGCTAAAACTTCTAGATCAAAGGCATAAATATTTTGAAGGCTCCCCCCCACACACACCCTCAGCTTTACTGAGGTATAACTGACAAATAAAATGGTACAATATTTAAAGTACATTCTGGAGTGATTTGATATGTGTATATATTGTGAAAGGATTCCCAACATCTGGTTAATTAAGCTTTTAAGTATACATATATGATCAACCTGTAGAAAGTTTGTCCCAGTTTATTCTCCCATCAGCAGTGTCCCACTCCCTTACATCCTTCACTTATTCTTCTTTACCAATTTGATCATTTTCTATTTTTCCTAACCTAATAGGTCTATGCTAGTACCTTCGAAGCTGGCACACTACCACAGACCACTGGAAGGTAGATAAACCAATGGACCTCAGGGTCCAGCTCAGAAACCAATACAAACACTGTGAGAAGTCCTTCGGAGAGACAAAGGGAGCCAAGTCCTAAGCAAGGAGAACTTGAAATAGCAAAGTGGGATGTCCTCCGGGTCCAGTGGTTAAGATTCTGCACTTCCTATGCAGGAGGGGCAAATGTGATCTCTGGTTGAGGAAGTGAGATCCCATATGCCGCATGGCACAAGCAAAGTAAAAAAAAGAAATAGGAAAGGGTCAGGGGCTTCTATGTGAGAAATGGGGAATGGGCTGTTGGCAGTGTCCTCCCCTCTTTGGCCTTTATGGCATTGGCATCACCAGAGCCAAGGTTAGATGAGAAACAAAGGGTGGCCCCAGAGCCCCTCTCACTTTCACCCACCGGCTCCACGTACTTGGCAAGGATGGCTGCTTGCAGATAAAGGCAGCATGTGGACACCAGTACTAGACAGCTCCCTGGGAGACAGCAGAAGATGAAAGAGGGGAAAAGGGAAAGGCTGAACCCCGAGGCTAATCCCATCTCCTCAGCTACAGAGGAGAAAGCACGGAGCTCAGGCTCACCGTCTCCCCTCGGTTACACGTTTCTAGCTAACACAGCTCAAAGTTGAAAGGAATAAAAGATGAGTGCACAGAGAAAACCAACCAGACACTGGAGAACAAGTACCATGAGAGACGATTAACAGAGCAAGCTGTACCAGGAACAGTGCACCAACGGGACATGAGAACTTCAATAAAACATGGCAGGTCTCCTCAGAAAGACAAGGATGACACGGGAAAGTTGTTCTGAACCACCGCCAAGGATACTTGGTATGAGCAATGAAATTGTTCAAAGAAAAAATTAGGTGAATGAGTCTATTAGCAGAAATAGGTAAGAGCTGAAGAAAAGATTAATGAGCAAAAACTGAATGAAGAAGTCAGAATATACAAAGAAAGGATAAAGAGATGAAACAAACTAAAAATTAAGAAATGAAGCTAGATGTCATCATTACAGGATATTGCATTTAGGGAGTTCCCTGGTGGCCCAGTGGTTAGGATTCCAGGCTCCCAGTGCTTTGACCGGCGTTCAATCCCTGGCCAGGCAACTGAGATCCCACAAGCCACATGCTGTGGCCAAAAAAAAGATGAAATTCCATTCAAAACGAAGGACAGAGTAGGGATGAAAGGGTGTGTGTGTGGGGAGGGGGGGGGGGGGGTGATGAAGACCAGAGGCTCAGAGGAAAAATACAGTTTTTGATAAGCTTTATACATTGACATGGAAAAATAGTGTAAGTCTTATTAGGTTGGAAGTTGCCAATAAAAAGATTAAAAATAGAATGTAGAACTTCCAGATCAGCAGAAGAAAATGTGTCTAGTCATCATGAGGTGAAGAGGAAAAAAAGGAAAGTGTATTATAACCGAAATCCTTGTCCATAAAAATGTAATTTTTAGGCAGTCACACTTTCCCAGCCTTTCTGGCACCTAGACGTGCCACAGCTACTATCAACACTTAGTATACATGTCTTAGGGAGACTTCTGGGAAACTCCTTACATTCATGAAAACACTATTTGCTAACCCTCCACTCTCTTACTGCCTTGAACTTGAATGTGCTGAATGATGGCTGGAGCTCAAACTTGGAATATAAGGTCAAACATGAACAGAGGAATGGGGAATTATTTAATGCATACAGAGTTTTTTACTTCTGCAAGATGAAGAGTTTCAGAGATGGGTTACACAAAGTGAATGCACTCAACACTACTGAACTGTACCCGCTGAAGTGGTTAAGATGGTAAACTTCATGATATGTATATTTTACCACAACAGAAACGTAAAATGAATAGAACCATTACTCTCTTAAAAGTAAATTTAAAAACAAAAGGAATAGAGAGGGTGCCAGAAACCTGGGTCCCTGGGGACTCTTAGAGCAAAATTACCACACCAGTCCTGGACTGCATACTTCTGTTTCTCTAAGAATAAAACAACTGCTTTAAATTACTGCTATTTTGAGTTTTCCGTCACCCACAGCTAAACCTAATCCTAATATGCCCAATAAGCAGAAAAATGTAAAACGGGAGAAACAGCATTACAAGACATACCAGGCAAATACAAATCAAAAGAAGATGGGATATAAAGTTAGTATCAGTTAAAAGAGAATTTGAGGTGAGAAAGGGACAAAGAAGGACATTACATACTGGAAAAGGACGAATAGGTCACGATGAGGTAAGAATCATAAACATACATGGATCAAAAATAGAGCTTCAAAGTACAAAGGATAACTGACTCAGACCATGAAGAAGCAAACAAACCAACAATTTCACACACTCTTCTCAGAAACATACAGAGCAAACCATACAAAGATGAGCAAAGATACAGATTTGGATAACATAACAAATCAAAAATTGTTTAATTTCATATTGAGAGTATATATCTGTTTTAATTATAAGTGAACTGTCCACAATTCAATTATAGATCAGGTCACAAAAAATGTCCCAGTAAGTCCAAAGAACAAATACCCTATCAATTCCATAGAATCAGCACACCAATTTTAAAAGGAAAACTTTCAAAAATCTCACATATCTAAAAACTAAATTATCATTTTATTAAATAACCTTTGGGTTAAAGAGGAAACCAAAGAGAAACCTTTGAAAATCTTACAGTTAGACGACACCATCAATGATATCCTGATACTCATGGATGTCCAAATCTGTGGGAGATAACTACAGAAGTGAAATGGACTACAAAAAAAAAAAGCAAAGAAAAACTAGAAAAAAACATGCTGAGTGTTCAACACAAGAAGTGGAAAAAACAGAATAAAACAAAGGAAAATAACAAGGGCAAAAATTAATCAAATAGAGAAGAAAGCAAAATGAAAGATGAACAAAAATTGCATAATGATTCTTTTAATAAAGATTTTAGGACCATTTTACATGGAAAAAACATAAATAACAAATGCAAAAAAGACAAAATAATTACCAACAGAGACTTTAAAGTACAAAAGGATATTATAAATGACTACACAGCAGTACACATGAAAACAGATCAGTGTTCATCAGCAGGATACTGCTGGCCTTCTGGACAGGCTGATTAAGTCTTCACTGCACAGGACTGACTCATGTATTGCCAAAAGCTTAGCATGGCTGTCCAAACAGTGCCTTGCCTCATTTCTAAACACTCTTGGGGAAGTGGGTAAGGGTGAAGACTCAGCACTGTCCCCCACTAAAGAAACAATCCCCTACTTGAAATGGAAACGTTTTTTAGAAAAGACACAAAAAAGCAAAATAAGTAGTACAGAAAAAGGGAAAACCTAAATACATCAATCACCAAGAGAGCCACTGTAATGATAATCAACACCTCTCTCACCACCAAAGACCCAGAAGGTACTAAAGGTAGACCCTTCATTTTATGCAAGTTGTTCTAGAAATCAAAAGAGGGGAATCTGCCTAATTTGTTTTAGAATGCTGGTGTAAACAAGGTAAAGAGAGCATAAGGAAAGAGTATTACAAACCAGTTTACAAACCAGATGCAAATACCTCAATTATTTGTGCATTGAATGTAACATTAAAAAGGAAAAAAAGAAGAAAGGCATGTCCAAGTAGAATTTGTCTTAAGAAGGCAAGAATGGTTCAAACATCAGAAATTCATCATTTTAATAGATTAAAGGACGAAAGTCCCATGAACATTTAAGTAGATGCAGGAAAAGCAGCTGGATTAAGTCCAAATTATCTATTCATAATTTTTAATAAGCCTTAGAAAGCTAAAGAGAGAAGGAATTTATCATTCTGGTAAAGACTATCTTTCCAAAAACCTACAAGAGAGAAAACTCACCCTACTTAACATGAAGACACACTAAAAGCATAGTAAATAAATCTAGCGCAGAAACAGATAAAATAACAACCAAAAAATGGAAAGCTCAAAAACAAAAACATGTGAATACAGCATACAATAGGAACGACATCACATACCAGTGGAGAAGGACAGATTATGGAGTGACCAGTATTGGGGTAGTGGCTCACTATATGAAGGAAAATTAAAATTAGATTCTTGTCTTCACCATTTAAAAAAAAAACAAAAAACCTACATGGATTAAAGGTCTAAAAATGAAAGCTAAAATTAAAAAGCTAGCAGAAGATGCAGAAGTCCTCTATAACCAGGAAATGGAGAATAATTTTGAAACATCACCCTGGAAATAAAAATCATAAGGAAAAAGTTAACTTGACAGAAAAAAATTAAAGGCTATTACTGACAAAGTTACCATATGTGACATGTTAGACAAAGACAACTGCCATGTACAAAACTAATGAGTTTTCTGTATCTATAACATAAAAGAATCCATGCAAATCAGAAAAGTAAAGACAGGAAGTCCAATATAAGAATAAGGAAAACTTAAGAAATCAGAGGGGAATTCCCTGGCGGTCCAGTGGTTAATAGGACTCCACGCTTTCACTGCTGAGGGCCTGGGTTTAATCCCTGCTTGGGGAACTAAGATCCCGCAAAGCCATATAGCCAAAAAAGAAAGAAAGAAGAAATCAGAGAAGAGGAAATCTAAATGTATAAAAAGGAAATCTGAAGAGATAAAATTATCAATCTCCCTAGTATTCAGAGAAATGTAAAATAAACAAAGAGATACCACTTTACATCTACCAGACTATCAGGATTTAGGAATTAGGTGTTAGATGATACCAAATGTTGGTGAGGATGTGGGAAACAGGAGGTAACTATCCAGGGCAACCGTTCAGGAGAGAGATCTGGCTGCATCGAGTAAAAACAATAATGTATGGGACTTCCCTGGTGGTCTTGTGGCTTAGAATCCACACTCCTAATGCAGGGGGCCCTGGTTTCAATCCCTGATCCAGGAACCAGATCTTGCATGCTGCAACTAAGACCCAGCACAACCAAATAACTAAATAAATAAATATTTTAAAAAATCAATCATATATAGACAGCCAACAACAGAGCAATCTCACTCCTGGGCATCTAATCCAGAGAAAACTTCTCACAAGTCCTCAAGGAGAATGGATGAAGGATGTCCACCACAGTCAACCAGGCTACCCAAAAAAGCTGGCAGCAAAACACACAAACAGACCCATATCTATACATGAAATACGGCAAAGGTGGTTCTACAGAGCAAGAGGAAAAGAAGTCTCTTCAAGTGGTGGCATAAATGTATACCCACATGGAAAAATATGAAATTGGGTCCCTACTTCAAAATACACAAAAATCAACTAGGTGTATTATAAATGGGAATAGAATAACAAGCTTATAGATTATATGGAAAAATATCTTTGTAACCTCAAAAAAGGAAAAGATTTAAGACATTTAAAAGCACTAATTATAAAGAAAAGGATTATTCTGTCTACATTAAAATTCAAAAAACTTCTGCTACTCAGGCCTGCGTAAACAGAGGGTGAAGACAAGTCATGGAATGGAACAAGGTACAGACAGTATTCAATCAATAAAGAATATGTGTCCACAACACAGAGAATCCCTACAAGTTGCAAGAAAAAAACCATAACCAATTAGACTTAAACTAGCACTGCCTAAAAGAGGAAATCCCAAAGGATGCTGAAAGGGTTCTCCATCTCATTAGTAATTATATCCTTAATCACCATATCAAAACCAAAATGAGATATCTTAATACATTAAGTCCAACAACAGTAACTGTTGATGAGGGTTTGGAGCAGGGAGAACTCTGGTAGGTCTGGTGGGAATATACAATGGTACAATCACTTTGGCATTCCTGGTATAGCTCAAAATACACTTATCCTAAGACTTGGCAATTCTATTCCTAGGAATATACTCTAGGAAAACTCACACACATGTTGACCCATATACAAAATAAGAACGGTCACAGGAGCTTTGTTCCTATTATCCCAAACTGGAGACAATCCAAATACCCATCTACAGGAAAATTGATAAGAAATTAATAAATTATAGTCCTGTTACAGAACTCCATACATCAAGGAAAAGGAACAAACAGCTCCAAGGACAACATGGATGATTCTACAAACATAACACTAGGCAAAAAAAGCCAGACATGCAAAAATAGATACTTCGTGATGCTGTTTATATAAAGAAACGTTTACACATGACTAAATAAGTAGTAAGAAAAGCAAAAGAAGGAGATTGATCTCCCCTGGAGGGGAGAAAGAGAGATGATGGGAAGAGTTGCAGAGGCTGCTGGGGGAGTTAGCAACATCTATCTTTTGACATAGGTGGCTTTTACAAGGGTATTAGCTTCATATTTTTTTCCCTGTACAGTACATTATGTTTTAGATACTTTTGTATGCATTTTATAGTTCAGATCTTTTAAAAACAATTAGAATAAAAAGAAGGGGAGAAATCTGGGAGTTTATCACTCAGGGAATGTATAGATAGATAAATGTGGTTACTGCACATAAGAGAATATAATGCAAGAGTAAAGATAATAATTTTATTTACAATTATAGAAGCATGTTCAAGTTTCCAAACAAAAAGAGAAAAGAGGTTTACAGCACAATGCTGTATATGAATGCAAAGTTTTAAAAATACAAATATGAAACAACATGTATTTTTCAAGAATATACAGATGTACAAATAAAATCATGGAAGGGGAATTAGAAAGGCACATATACATACAAAACACATCTAACACACTACAATTGGCAGCAGGAGTCCACAAACTTTTTCTTATGAGTCCAGATAATAAATATATTGGGTTTTGCAGGCCATTAGATGTTATGGCCTACTCAACTCTACCATTACAACTCAAAAGCCACCACAAATAAGGAAACCAACGGGCACAGGTGTGTTCAAACTAAACTATATGGAACCACAGGGAGCAGGCCTGGGCTGTAGTTGGCCAAGCCCTGGAAAAGAGGAATGGGTTAAGAAAAGGGAATAACGGGGAGAAGGGGGAATCTAATACAATGAGAGGCTTTGCATGGGCCAATGACAGAGGGGTCCCTGAAGTATTTTCAACTCAATTCTGGGGAAATAAATCCCATAACAGCTAAGAGGCAATCAAAGAAAGAAAGAAACAAGATGTTACCTTTTTGTTGTTTTGATTTTCTTCCACACTTACCTCCTTGCTGTCTGTCACAGGAACCCACTTAAATATCCTAAGGGACGTGTCACCCACAGTCACCCACTTCTTCTCCCTAAAACAAAGACACTTCTCAGAACCGATAAAATAAAACAGATTTTCTGATAAGAACTTGTGCTTTTCTACTTCTCACCAGATGTCTTCAATCTTAAATGCCTCATAAACTTTCTGTCCAATCATACTTTACTTTTCAAGGCAAAATCACCCTTTCCAGAAACACTTCGCTATCAAATTCCTTTAACACTGAAACTTCCACCTGTCACCTCTGCTCACATGGTGTACCAAAAACATTTTTTCCCTCACAGACTACAGTAGTATGGAGTATGAGCACAAATTCAAACTCAGGTATCCATCTCGCATAACTTTTTCATCTCCCCAAAATTAATTCAATCCCACTGATATTTTATAAAGTCCTATTATACAAAGCCTTATAGGTGATAGGGACGCTATCTTATATATCCTTTATCTTGGGAACTCAAAGCACTGAAAAGATAAGTAAAGAAATCATTGTAATATGTGAAGGTGGCAAGAAAGAAGGCTGAAAGACCAGGATATTCCATGGAAGGCAAAACTCCTGTGAAACTCTGGGTGCATTAGTCGCTCAGTCATGTCCAACTCTTTGTGGCCCCATGGACTGTAGCCCGCCAGGCTCCTCATGGGATTCTCCAGGCAAGAATACTGGAGTGGGTTGCCATTTCCTTCTCCAGGGGAATCTTCCCGACACAGGGATCAAACCTGTGTCTCCCGCATTGCAGGCAGACTCTTTATCATCTGAGCCACCAGGGAAACTCTGGGTTGAAACACAATTCCAGTAACCAAGGACATGATGCCTTCAGCTAACAGAACTGAGCCTCACACTGGCTTTTGGAAAAGGTGAAGGCCAAGTGCCATGGAAATATGGCTTTAAGGTTTCGTTTTACATAAGAGATACTTTTGAGATAGGCCTTAAAAAAAAACGGGTAGCTGTTCTCCCCTCCCCACACATACCTGGGGAGGGAAAAGCAAGTAACATTCTTAAATAAGGGGCAGATTATGGAAAGCCAGAGTTGGGGAGCCTGAAGTGTGACTTCTGAAAGTTTCGAGTCCCAATATGAGCACAAAAAAGCAAAAAAAGTAACTGCTGTTATTGATGATGCTATTCAGCAAATGACATCACAAAAATATAAAGAGTGTGATGTAACATAAAAAAGAATGAACTAAAGACTTAGAAACTAGAATTAATTCCTGGACAAGCCACTCATTTATTCAACAAGTACTTAACTTACAAGACCCTCTGCTAGGTCCTGAGCACACAGGGCACAAGATGCACAGTCCTGACGCCCCCAAGCCTGAATTCCAACTGAAAATAGACACCACGCAACTCATTTCAGTTAGAAACCTGATCATTAGATTCAACCACATCAAACTGCCATTTCTGCAGATAAAAAAGGCAAATACAGATGTCTTATAGTTCAACCTAATGCCACTGTGGAAAGTTCCATATAGGAGTGGACCCGATTTAGACTGGGGCTCTTGAAAGGTTTTGGTGAGGAAGCAACTGCAGAGCAGAGCCAGGCACTAACTAGGCAAGTGGAAGGAGCGGGGAGAGGAAGGTTGCCGAGAGGAAGGAAAGGTAGTGTGGCCCCAACTGAAAGATGGCCAGCATCTTGCGAAAGAGGGCAGTTTGAGCCAGTCTAGTGAGGTATGAAGAATCATTTTTGGTCTTTATCCTACGGACAAGAAGAGATCAATGAAGCATTATTTCCTAAGCAAAAGAGTGCTAAAAAAAATTCACACTTGAGAAAAATACAAAGCAATGAATGGACCAGGGAACTGAGCCAGTCCTGAAGCAGGCAGACAGATCACAGGAAGCCCGGTACAGAGTTCCAGGTGAGACAGAGTTCCAGGTGGCAGAAGATGCTCAACTGCCCCAGACTACAGGTAAGAACAGAGATGGCCAGAAGAGGAAGGGATGCCCAGTCCTAGGTTTCACAAAACCTAAAGCATTAGATTCGGAGGAGGAAAATCATTAACTATTTAACCTAGTATTTGTAAGTCCCTAGAGATGAGGAACTTGGTCATGTAGCAAAATGGACAAATAAACATGCAAATAAAGTCCAAGGTAATGATGACCTTCAGTTTTCCAGGTGGCTCAGTGGTAAAGACCCCACCTGCCAAAGCAGGAGACGCGGGTTTGATCCCTGGGTTGGGAAGATACCCTGGATAAGGAAACGGCAACCCACTTCAGTATTCTTGCCTGGAAAAACCCATGGACAGAGGAGCCTGGCGGGCTATATGGCGTCGCAAAGAGTAGGACATTACTTAGCGGCTAAACAGTAACAGTGACTCTAAAGGGAGTGGAGGGTGAGGGGCAGGAGGTCTTGGAGAAGGCTTCCTGGATGGAGCTAACACATACCCGGCTTTAAAGTTACTAGTAAAGTAAAAGTTATCGGTAGCAATCAGCTAGAGAAAAGTACTCAAGAAGTTGGCGCAAACACCTGGCTGTGAAAACTTAAGGTGATAACGGACTGGAACTCTTGGTACAAAATAGGCGGTCAACCTGCGCCTGCAATGAACATGACAGGAGCCGTTTCCAAACAAGGCGGAGATCCTGACTCTTCTACTAACAGCTCCCAGGTCACCAAGAGAAAATGCCTACCTAGTCCGCGCGCGTGAGCCCATATTAGGAGAAAGACAGGAATTTTTATTCTAACGATTCCCCGGTCCTGTGGCAGGTAGCTTGACGAAAAGTTCTCACCTAACCCAGACGCCTTAATACGCAGAGTGCTCAGTCTGGCCAACGGGAACCCCTCAGAGATTGTTAGTTAGTATACGGGACAGTTCAGAACGCAAAAGGTTCCTCACGCAGGCGGGCGCGGAGACTAGGCCCCGCGCCTACCCACGGCTAAACAAACCCCTCAGACCCGGCGCCGCCGGAAGCCGGCAGCTCCCCGCCGGCGCCGCGCTGCTGGGGGCAGGAGCAGGTGGGCGGGCCTACGGGCCGGGCAGCCCTCTGATTGGTCGCGGCCGGCGCGCCCTCTGACCTCACGCCGACACGAGCGGCTCCCTCCTCCCGCCTTCTCCGCTCCCCCCTCCCCCCAAGCGCCTGCCGGTCGGCTCCCACCCCGCCCGCCAGTTCGCCGCTGCTCTGGACCTGGGCCGGCGGCCCTCCCCGCCAGCACCCTTGGGCCTGGCCCCTCACCATTTCCGCACTTTCTCGATGGCCGCCATCACCTTCTTGATGTCATCCTTGGCCCGGCTGCGGGTCTCGGCCCGGACCGACCGGCCCGACATGGCGGCGGCGGGAACGGCGGGGGCCGGGGCACTGCTCCCAAGACACCGAGAATCGCGCGCCTCACGCACCGCCGCCCGCCCGGCGCAGTAGCGTCACCGCGGCCGTCGCCCCCTCCGTGCGCGCGTGCGCGAGAAGTGCGCGCACCCGCCCTCCCCTTGGGGCTCGAGGCATCAGCGCGCCTGCGCGCTCCGCCCCAGGTGCCCCACCCCGGGCGTCCCACCCAACAGGCCCCACCCTGGGCATCTCAGAGTACACTGGGCTCCCAAGCGGCCCAGGGTTTGCGGGCAAGCTGGCAGCACATGTTGTGTGCAGGGTGAGGTGCGAGGCGCTGCCAGTGGGGTCTCTGGCTCTTGCCTAGGGCAACATCTTAAATCTCTGGTCAGGGCTGCAGCCATAATCTATATTTTATGGACTTGACACCAATGTTACTGAAGTTCTACACTATCCTGTACTGCTTTCTCTCCTGTTTGGGGTCCTCGCTCCCCAGATACACCACTGTGCTCCAACTATAGAGAATTTCACACCTTCAATATGCCTTCCAACGTTTGCACACATGTGTTCTCACCTGGAATTCTCTTATCTCTTCTTGATGACCACTTACTCTTCCAACATTCAGTTAGAATTCCAACAAGACTTCCCCCTGAGATCCTGAGATGCCACTTTGTCCATACTTGATACTACATCAATGTCTCATTTAATTCAATAATCGTTGATTAAACGATGCCTGCGCTGTGCAAGTTGGCATGCAAAGTGCTGAGGACAAATTTGGGTTTTGCTTTCAAAGAGCTTCCAGGTTAGCAGAACATGCAGACCAGAAAACAAGCATTTCAAATGCCATTTTATAAACGCTAGGTTAAAGGGAAGTACTGTACAAGATGCTATGACAACCCTAATCTAGATGAAGGGTGTCCAGAGGAATCTGGGGAAAAAAATGACCTTGAAGTTGAATTTTTGAGAATACAGTAGATGAAATTGCTCTAAGTCCTCACTGTGTCCACAGACACCGTAGATGCTCAGTAGATGTTTGGGTGAATACTCAGTCTTCACTGCAGCTCCCGGTCTTCTCCTGTCACCCTAGGCATTTATTCATGCTGGCGGTATGCAGAGAGGGCCCTGAAGCAACTGCTTTGAGAAACATAAAAGAAGCAGGTGACAGTTTGCATTGCTTGGTAGCAGCTATTTCTTTCACCTCTAGAGAAACTTCCTTCTGTGTACCCAGAGAACTGTCTCACTAACCCTGAACTTGACATACCCTCTGACTATGACTGTTCCCTATTCTGTAATCCACCAATACATGGCTCGATAACCACATATCACCTTGCTGATGAGGAGCCCAGGAATAGTATCTGCCTGCCTGAGGAGTGAAAGAGCTGAACTAGCATGTGGAGGGAAGGATGGGTCTACTAATAGTGAGATCAAAGGTGGCACATGTTTCTCAAAGCCATTGATTCAAAATAACTGAACCGAAGAGCTAGCTTGAGTATCTGCTACATGCCCTATAGTGGTGGACACTGGGTGACGCAAAGATGAGTAAAACACACTCCCTGCCCTTTAGGTGAGGATAAGGAAAGCAACAGGAAAAGAAAATTCAAAGGCAGAGCTTGCTAAGTGTTGTGACAGAGGCCAGCTCTCTGGAATTCTCTAGTTTTCTTCTTAGGGCCCCCTGGTCTAGGCACACAGCACCCGGAAGTTATGACTCTGTTCTCTCTCAACCTGTCCAAGTCCTGGCCAGCTCCCCCCCCGGAGGTTTCTTATCTATAGCTTCCCTGCTACACAGCCCACTGCTCCTCCCAGCAGTGTTAGCCTCCTGCGCCCCGCTCTCCTCCAACCCACCCTGCCAGTCACCACCTTCCTCGGGCCTTCCCTGCTCTGAAGACCCAGTGATCCTCCTGATTCCCGCTCACGTTTGTCCACCTGACCCTACATTCCCCACCTACCTCCCATTGATGCTTTATCTAAGAGTGGTCAAAATGAGCAACTGCCAACTATTCCCCGAAACCTGCACAAATGCCCTCTGATGACATACTTCTCTTTAAAAAAAGTCTCCCCTTGGGACTTCCCTGGCAGTCCAGTGGTTAAGACTGAGTTTCCAATGCAGGGGGTGTGGGTCTGATCACTGGTTGGGGAACTAAGATCCCACATGCCATGTGGAGTGACCATTAAAAAAAAAAGAAAAAGAAAAATTCTGATACATACCTGTCTGAACGTCCAGGAACTCACAATAAAATAGTTTTTCATGTCTGATGTGTTGAGAAGAGTTTAGCTTAGTGAACTTGAAATTGCAGGGAAAAGATGAAGTGTGGTCAACAGAATGGTTAACAGTGTCAGATGTGGGCAAGATGACTCCTCCAGAGGGACCCATCCTGGCCCTGCCCTGCCATGCCCCTCCCCATGAGGCACAGTTGCAAGACCAGGGAGATGTGACCACCTGGTGCAAGCGGTCACCATCCCATCCACCAGACCCTGGACTCCCTGTCCAAACAGACACAAGCCTGCTTCAAGGGCTTGTACGAGCCTCTCCCCTGGGTCCATCCTCACAGAGGTGGCACTGACCTGGCGCACAGCCTGAGGCCTGAGTGGTTGGTGACCAAGGGGCGGGTGTTTGTCTCACAGGGATATGACGGCATATGAGGTGTGGGCTGGGGTGTCCCTTGCAGTGTGGAAAAGAACCCGGTGGGCAAAGGAGAGCAGCCTTGATCATGGGCTGGTCACCTTTGACAACACACTGTGGCACAGACCTGAGTGAGGGTTCTAAATTTGAACACGGCCTTCCAGGACGCTGTATCACGGGAGGACAGCACATACTGGAGCGCACCTTAATTTATAACGGATAGTAAGACTTGCACAGCATGTGGGTCTCCATCTGTATTCCTGTCTCTGGCTTTACACACGTTGGTTAAAGGAATGTATTTATTGTGAGTTCCTAGATAGGCCTAAACTCAAAGGTCTGGGCAAGCCTTTTATTGGTTATGTGTGTTGGGCAATTAGATTCCCTAATAATATTGATGTCAAGGCTCTCTCAGTTGCAAGAGTATTCCAATTCAAATTGACAGTCATACACAGGACTTTCTTGGCTCTTAGTAACTTGGTTGTCCAGTGGTGGCAACCTCAGGTGTCTGGATCCAGCAGCTGAAACAAGAAGCATCCTCAGCCTGCGGTCTCTTTGGCTGCTTTCCTGTGTTGGCTTCATTCTTGGGCAGGACTACACAGTTAACAACTTTACATTCTACTTATTAAGCAATTCTAGCAGAAAACTAAACATATTTTCAGTTTTTTCTAAACTCCAGCAAAGTCCAGGAGTCTGCTGATTGGTTATATGCCTACCATTCTTGCCTGCAGAATTCCATGGACAGAGGAGCCTGGTGTGCTGCAGTCCATGGGGTTGCAAAGAGTTGGACATGACTGAGTGACTAACACTTTCACCTTTCATGGAGGGTCAAGGCTTATCCTCTATAAATTGTACAGATAAAGATTTGGGGAGGTGATAGTTCACCAGATAAACACTAAGATAGGGTTGTTTCCTGAGGCAGAAACAATAGTGAGATGGTAGGGATTGAAGGCTTAGCACTCAATGTGAGCCACTATCAACGTGAACAAGAAAATGCAAATACACTTAAACTGGGTATGTCTATTGAATAGAAAGCAACTGGAGATCACACTCATTTTCCTACTGCCCTGAACTCTGGGATCAGAATTGGAAGCTTGAAGAAATAAAGCTTCATACAGTCACAGTCTCACAAGGTGTTCCTAGGTCTGTGTTTATGAATTATGCTTTCAGTTTCTGTGGCTGATTCTGCAGTGCCAACCTGTGTCATCAGTGGGCCTCAGTCTCAAGAGCTGTGTGCTGAAATCAAGTCATGCTCACCTGGAAGACTCATATTTCTGGAATTTTGTAGAGAACATGAATCCCAAATTATTAAATTTCTAGACACGTGGCCAATTTGGGGCACTGTTGGGTCTATGGTATCACATATCATCACTGATAATTCATCACAACAGTAGGTGTTTCCTACTTACCTGCTATAATCTCCAATTATAGAACATCTTTTAAAGATAAGTCTTATTACCTTAATTGAAATTGATGAAGACTATCAACAGACCTTCAGATGTGCACTTTTGTGCTTTAAGTATTTTTTATTTTTAATGACTGATAAAAATAATCTATACACCATTTTTTAATTTCCCCAAATTGTTATTCTGAAAACTTTCAAACCCACAGAAATTCAAATAGTAATATTAAAGTATTAACACTGCCTTCACACACAAGGATTTCTTATCAAAAAAACATAGTGGCCTCTGGGCTACATGAATATCCAGGTAACTTTTGCCATGCTGACAAGGGAAGCAGTCTCATCTTTAGTGAGAGGAGCTGTTTTCTGTCCCCGGGACATCTATGTAATGACTCTTCTAGTGTTTTCATTCATTTTAATAGAAATTCATAACCCTGGCAAGGCATGCAGGGCTGGATTTATTCCCATTTTACAGATGAGGAAACAAACTCAGAGAAGTGAAGTGATGTGTCTGTTCAATAAGTGCCCCAGCCGAAACTGGAACCAAAGACTTCTGACTTCAGTAACTCAACATTCTGTGATCACTGCCCCTCCTGGATAAGCAATGAAAGTAAAGCCAGAGCCAAGCAGAAGTGCGAAGAGTTTTAGTCTCATTCTTCTGACAATCAGAAGGCACAGTGTCACCAGGACCCAGGTGTACAGCATTATCAGTCGTAAGTCTATTCTCAGGAACATCAAACCACAGTGCTAACTGGGAACACAAAACCACAGTACACAGAGGGTACTGAGATTTCTGTTAGCTGCCCTGGTTCGAGTTCAACATTTATTGAGCGCTTAGTCTATTCCAGGTACTGTGTGTGGGATACACAGCAAATCAGACAAGGACTCCTGTCACATTCCAGTAGCTTAATGAACAGTCCCCAGGCTGCCAATGAGAGACTGCTGGGCTGCACCCTGCCATTAGCGTTGTTTGGTTCCTACAGTGCTTACGTTTTCCTTTTTATAATAAATTGCCAACTTCTGGCTTCTCGGAAACGGGCAACTTCTGCTGGATTCCTGAATATTAAGTCGCAGCCACCCCTGACCCTGACCCAGGCCCTCTAGAGGTGACTTCAGTTCCCACCTTTTCCTACTTTCACCCAGACAACTGGCCCAATTCACCTACTTCTATTACCCACCTGACACCCCTGAAGCCAACAAATATCCAAACAAGATAATTTCAGATAGCATTAAGTAATGCAAACTAAAGTAAAATGAGCTAATGTGATGGATGTGATATGACTGGTGGAAAGGGCTACTTCAGACTAGAGTGGTCAGGAGGGTCTCTAAAGTGTAACTGAAACTGAGAACTGAATTATGAGAAGCATGGCAAGCCTGCCAAGAGAAGGGGAAAATGCTTCTAAGCAGAGGGAAGAACAGAGGCACAAGTCCCCTCTGAAGCTGGAAATAACCTGGCCTGGTTGGAGGCATGGCACAGCTGGGAGAGTGGTAACAAGGTCACAGAAAGAGGAAGAACCCTGATCACACAGGGCCTTGTATGCACGGTGAGAATTTTGGATTTTATTCCGAGTGTGATGGGGAGTCTTGGGAGGGTTTTAACTTGGGAATGATGTGATCTACTTTATATTCTTCAGAGATCACCCTGCTATGTACAAGAGTGACTTAACGAGGCAAGCCAGGAAGCAGGAAGGCCAATGAGGAAGCTACATTATCGTGGCCCTTTAGGTGACAGTGGCTAGGACCAGGATGGTATCAGAAGAGATGGAGAGAAGTAACAGGTTCAGGACTTACTGCCATGGAGCCCAAAGCATTTTCTGCTGGGGTGGATGGCAGTCGTGTAGTAGGGCAGAGGGAGTGAAGAAAAGGGCGTAACTGAGGATAACTCCAAGGCTGTGCTTTGTTCACATGTTTATATGAGTTGGGGGTGATTAGGGGAGGTCCAAGTTTTAGGGAGAGGGAAGAATTTATTTTGGATAAATTTTACTGAGGCTCAAGTCTTCCTAGATTCCTCATTTCCCTTACCTCTCCCATCCAAGCAGTCCTCAAAGTCCAAAATGTGAACTTCTAAATAGCCAATCTATTCAATCTATCCCCCTTCAACACCATTGCCTCTGTCCTGATTCAGTCCTCTCGCCTTGACTTTTACAACAGCCTTCTCCAGCTGTGAGTAAACTAACAAGAAACACTTCACAGACATGCGTACCTCTCTTCCACCAGCCATCTTTGATGGCAGAAATCATGTCTTATTCATATTCATCTCCAGTGTCCGTGCTATGCTGGGCACAGAATAGGCACTCAAATGTTGGATGAACTGAAGAGAAGTTCTCCTCAAACAGGATATAACCTCCTGGAAGAGAAGAGCCCTATCTTGGGATTCTGTGATTCCTCTACCCAACATAAGGCAGAAGCAGATATGAAATGTACAATCAATCAAATCCCAGAAATTTAGCTTTCCCAAGAGATTCAAACTGCCCTATTTGAGTGCCAGGTTTACTCAGTAGTTAATAAATGATACTGGACAACAGGTAAGAGTCTATGACTCTTTTCCGCTTTTCTTCCAAATCTAGGAAGGAGGTCAAAAGATAATTATTCTCCATTTGACAAATAAGAAAACTGAGGCACAGAATGAAATCCCGTAATTACTTCGGGATGAAGTTAGGCGCCTTGCCTGGGTTAAGATTAGCCTTTCCCTGAGCCACTCCCCAGTTCTGGAATAGGAAGGAATCTCAGTCTCCCACCCCTGCAAGACTGCTGGTTAGCACTCAGGTCTTCCCTGGGTTTTGCGTCCATAATTACAAGCTCCTTTGGATAGCAGGGTGTGTTGCCCCAAGGTCAAAGACCATGTGCTCTCTCTCTTCTAATTACCACTCTCCTCAGTGCTTGGTGAAGACAGACTCCACCCCTTGGGCCCAGGAAAAAGAAAAGCACCTTGGTCATTAGCCTGGGAGATCGTCAAGTAGGCCAGGAGTCACCACCAGCAAGAAGAGAGATCTGAGTAGGCGGGAACAGGTTCAATGGGGAAAAGGAGAGAGAAGCTGCCATTAGGAAAACCAGGACACTCCTTTCAAAAGGCTTCCAGCTGGGGAGTACCGGGGAAAGGGCAGCAGTGGAGGCAGCAGCAGGTCAGATCCTTCCTACTGCCCCTCCTCCCAGAGTCATTTCTTCAAGGCCCCCAGGTTCTTCAGGGCCTCCTGGGCCTGCATCAGCTGCTGCTGAAGCCTCTGGCGGGTGCTTTCGCTGGAGGCTCGCTTCAGGAGGGCCTGCATTTCCTCCACCACTGCCCGGTAGCCAGGCGTGTTGTGGAAGAGCCGCACTGCCCGGTCCCCACAGGAGGCCAGAAGCCGGCCAGTGATGTCAAAGGACAAGTCACTGATACACTCCCCATGGACCTGCTCAAAGCACTCCTCCTTCTCACCCCGCCGGGTGTTGTAGAGATGAATACTGCTGCCACTGGCCAAGGCCAAGACCTGGGCATCAGGGGAGAGCGCCAGGCGGCACGGCACAGTGCTCGCTTCTTCAAAGCGGCCTGTCCTCAGCAAGTAGGGGTCCTGCTGCTTCTTGTATTCCACGTCTGTGTCCCACAGTTTCCACGTGCCGTCCTTGGAGACAGAGGCCATCCTGCAGCATGGAAAGTCAGGGCTCTAGCCTCACACACCCTGGACGGGAGGGGGCTGGGACAGCACTTGGGGAACGCTAGCTGGGAAGCCAATTCCACTGATATGTCTACTTCCTGCTGAGGGCCGGAAAACCCACCCACCGCACAGCTGCTGCAGAGAATGGCTGGAGGCCCCTGGTTGACAAGAGGGGCTGGGAGTCTTGGTAAGAAACTGGTAAGAAATCAGAGAGGATTCGCTCACCTCCGGGAGTCATTGGAGAAAGCGAAGAAGTGCACGGCTGCAGAGTGGCCCTTCAGTTCAAATGCTCGCACAACCTCCTGGAAGTCCCCTTTCTTCCCAAAGCAGACTTCCCAAACTTTTACATCTGGGGTGAAGCCACACGAGGCTACAAACCTGCCAGACAACCCAGATTCCTTTAAAACTTAATTTTAAGGGAAGTTTTTTCTGCAGATCCACTAAACCCCTTTCCTGAAAGGGTTCATAGTCATGTATCTAAATAACACTGTCTTTAAAAGTGCACTTATACATGACCTCAGTTCATCCTCACAGCTATAAGATACATAGGACCCCCGCCCCAACCCTTTATATGCTTTAAATGAGGAAGTAGAAACTAAGGACTTGAATCTAGGTGTCCTGATTTCACATGCCTGCTCCTTCTGCTACTCGAAGTTGGCTCTCTACTCTCTCTCCACCCTAGCCCCCAGCTCCAACCTCAGCCCACATCTGATGCCAGACTCCCCTCTTCCTTACCTGCTACAAGGGGATATAGCAGCATATGTATTGTTCATGTGGTTGGTGTTGATGGTGGACAGCACCTGGCCTTTCAGATTCCAGATGAGGATGGTCGTGTCACTGGAAGCAGTCATGATGAACTTCCCTGGGGGTGAGGGGGCGTAACATGAGCTGAGGTCAATGACCTGGTCAACTGACTTATGAAAGCCTCTGCTGCCCTTCGTATCATGCTCCCCTCCCGCACCAAGGGTGGCCACAGATAAGGATATGACTGAAGACTATGGTGATTATCTGCCTCTCCTGGGGACTTGCTGTGGCTCCCAGGACTCCAGGGAAGTCCAGACAAGGTCCCTTTGGTCACACCAGAACTGAGCATACCTCTCAGGCTGCATTCACTCCTTCAGTGAATATAACAGTCCATTCCCTCTTGCCTGGGGCAAGCTCCATCCTCTGAATGCCTCTCACCTGTGTCAGCGATGCCAATGTTGACAATGGGTGCCTTGTGCTTTTTAGGAAAGTCCTCCGGGGTGGCTGTGAAAGTATAGCCCCCATCGTCTCGTTTCATCATCTTGAAGATACGGAGGGTGTCTCCATTGGCCAGCCAGACAATGAATGCTCTAGAAACAGGGAGTAGACAAGTCTCTCACTCCTTCAGACACGGAGACCTGTCTGTGTGAGGTCCTATGATAGATAGGCTTTAAGGAAAATCAAGATCTCCTTTCAGGACCTAGAGTCCAGCCTCACAACCCTTAATTCAGAACCTCGTAAAACTCCTTAGAAGGTTAGGACTCTCATAGTTCTGGCTCCTTTAGCTTCTCTCTAGGGTTTAGAAAACCATGAGAGCTTCCAAGACTAATCTGGAAATCAGTCGGCTTTGGTACTTCCCAAATAGGAACAGATTTTCCCCACTCTACTTCTTTGTCAGGTAGCTGCATAACCCTCCAGGGGGCCTCAGTGTTCAAGCTGTCTGGATGTTCCCTTCTGCCACCACAAGGAAGACCCTGGGTCGCCACCTCACTATCCCAAACCAGGCATGGGAAGGACCGAGGCCTGGGTCAGGGCTTCTGCAGGAACACCTGGGGCTCCATCCTGTCCCACCTGCAGTCAGGGCTGAAGCGCACCAGGATGGCATGGTCCAGCTCCACGTTGGCTCTCATGCTGCGGTGCTCCCGCTGCAGGAAGTCCTTTGTGCTCCAGATGCGGACGGTACGGTCATCTGCACAGGTAGCCAGGTACTTGCCATTGCTGCTGAAGTCCATGCAAGTTATGTTCCCACTGTGACTCTAGGGCAAGGGCAGCAGCAAGTATGAACGGGAACCCCCTGGGCAAATGCGGGAACCCGTGCAACCATGACTCAGGGGCCCTGTTGCTTAGATCAACAGCAAGCTGCTGATGGGATGTCAGGAGAAGAGATGGGACAGGGCGTCCCCCCTGATCTGGGTCAGAGGCAGAGGAGTCTGTAACATGCACAGAATCCTACAAAGGAGAAGTCTGCGGGGCCGTGAGTCTTTATATATACGTGCGGTGCCTGGGTACCCGTGTACCTTCAATGCTGCAGCCAGAAGGCGGTGGGTGAAGTTGTGTTGCTGAGGCTTCTCCTTGCGAATCCGCTGTTGCGGTTTCTGCTTCTTGGATTTCAAGGACTTGTCAGGTGGGCATCCGATTGCTTTTTGGCCTATAAGGAAGGGCCAGGTCAACCATCCATTTACTGGCTCAGTGAGCACTCAGTGACCAACGATGACTGGCCGGGCATTGAATGGAGAGGCACAAGAGACGACCCTGTCCTCGAGAAGAGAGAGGGATACAGTGAAAAAAAACAGAAGCTTTGGAATCAGACCTGGGTGTGGACTATGGCTCTATCACTGAGTGATCCTGGGGAGGCTGCTTGCTATTAGTGTCTGTAACATAACCACATAGCACCTCACTGCACATTAGAGAAGGCGCCCTCTCTGGGCAGGCGGGCTCAGTAGGTTCACTGAAAGGCCAGTGGAGAGCAGATTCTTAACCAGACCTCTCTAAGTGAGGGACAATGTGCACTACAGAAGCTGCTGACGCTGGTCTCAGGTTAAGTTACTTAATTGCTCTGGGCCTTGGCTTTTCTAAAATAAAAGTTGAGAATTGGGTGAGATAATATATACAGAATGACAAGCATAGTACCCAAAACAAGCACTAAAAAAGGCTCAGAGGGAATCCCAGAGAGAACCCGACAATGAGAGGTAGTCAACATGTGTTGAGCATGTCCCCTGTGCTGAAAAGGGTGCCAGTCATTTTTGTATAAAATAGCTTATTTAATTGAGAATCAGGACAGGTGAAAGCGGGCATGTGTCAGATTGCTACAGATGCTCAATTCTTACAGGAAGAAAACTCTGGAGGCTACTGTTACAAAGGCAAATCTGCCCTCTGCTTGCCTCTTCAGCCTTGTCTAACAAGCCCACTCCTCTCCTCTCACATCACAGTCAAACCAAACGCTGTTTCAGGACTCCTCGGCTTCGTGCACATTGCTATTGCCAGGAGTATTCTCCTTCTCTTGGCCGTCCTGGCAAACCATTAAACAGATCCTTGAAGACCCCACCTTCAGGGTTCTTTACTTGACCCCCGCCCGCCACCGACAAAAGAGGGGCTGACCACTCCCACCCGTGGGAGTACTAGTACTGAGCTAGTACTAGTATTCTAATACTGATCTATGAAACCCACGACACTATATTTTTCACATACATTTTCAGACGTTCTTTACCCGACATTGGACTCCCCAAAGACCCCAAAGCCTACAGGAGATAGTAAACATTCAATAAATGCTGTTTGTCGGTAGACCAAAGCGTTCATAATGGATGTCTCTGTCCTTTCCTCCCCGTTTTCATAAAATAACGAACAAGGAGCGGGCGGGAGAGTTTCCGAGCGGCCTCTCAGCTGTGCTCCGAGGGAAGGCGGCTTGGTTTCGGCCACGGAGAGAGCGCACAGCCGCGAGGGACCCAGGTTCTAACAGATCGTCCCAAAGGGACGCGACGGGCCGGGCAAGGCGGCCCCTACTCTCGGGAAGCGAAACTCGTGTCATAGAGGAGAAAATGAGGCGGGGAGAGCGGGTCAGTGACACCCCCACAGGCCGGAACGGTGGGTCGGACCCCCGAGGAGGCCGGGGAGCGAGGTCTCGCGGGTCGCCCCTAACCGTCCCCGCCACACTCACCGGCGGACCGGCCGTTCGTCTCCTCCTCCGCGCGCAGCCACCCCCGCGCTACCGCCGCCGTCGCCACGAGGGCCAGCAGCCCGAGCAACAGCGACAGGCCCATCAGCTCCGGCATCTGCGGGAGCTCCATGTCTGCAGGGCCACTGCCACCTCAGCCTCTGGCCTGGCGGACGCCTGCACGTCTACGCGGGGGCGCGCACGCACGCGGGGCGGGGCCCGGCCGTTTGGTGCGTCCCGAGGGGCGTGGCCTGGTAGTCGGTGAGTCTCCAGAGGCGGGGCCATGATCGCTGGGCCCCCGGAAGGGCGGGGCCTGGCCTTTGAGGCTGTGCGATCGCGGAAGCGTTGCGGGTCAAGAAATGTAGTCCAAGTAGTCCAGGCTCAGGCCTTCCCTTGACTACTTTACTGATAATCGTTAGTAACGGCATTATTCCAGCCGTCATCACACTGGATCCTTTCAAGGAGGCAAGGGTCCGATTATTATTCCCGTTCAACAGGTGGGAAAGTCTTAGTATTGGGAAATGCAGGTGGATTTCTACTGTTAATGGAGAAGGGAAAGGGTAGTTCTGGAATTAGGGGGTGGGACAGCCTCAGCAAAGACTTGAGCAGGAGGATGCTTTGTGGAGGCAGGGTATGAGTAAAATAAAAAGCCGGTAAGGGAATTCCCTGGCAGGCCAGTGGTTAAGACTTCACATTTCCATCGCAGGGGTCATGGGTTGGATCCCTGGTCTGGTAACTAAGATTTGGCAAACCAGGCAGTGCAGGCAAGAAAAAAAAAGTAGCAGGTAAAATCGGAAGCTTCCCAGGTGGCTCAGTGGTAAAGAATCTGCCTGCCAATGCAGGAGATGCAGGTTTGATCCCTTGGTCGGTAAGATCCCCTGGAGAAGGAAATGGCAATCCACTTCAGTATTCTTGCCCTGGGAAATCCCATGGACAGAGGAGTCTGGCGGGCTACTGTCTATGGGGTCGCAAAAGAGTCGGACACAACTCGGCAACTAAACAAGAAGATTGCAAAAGTGTTTGAGGGCCTTGAGTGCTAGTTCAGCTAGTTCAGACTAGCTAGTTCTGCTAGTCATTTCAGGGTGAGATAGATCAAAATTGGTATCTTGGAGATTCTATGGATGGACTAGTGTGTGTCAAGACCAAACAAAGATAGAAGGAAAGCCAAGAGGTGGTTGCAAGAGTCCAAGATGGAGGTGATAAGAGCCTGGACTCAGGGGTGGCCTGATGGTAGGAAGGAAGCTGAAAAGATTTTTTTTTTTTTTTCAGTTTGGCTGTTCCATGTCTTATTTGCAGCATGGGGGATCTTTAATTGCACCATGTGGGATCTAGTTCCCTGACCAGGGATCGAACCCAGGCCCCCTTCATTAGGAGTGTGGAATCTTAGCCACTGGACCACCAGGGAAGTCCCTGAAAATATTTTTAACAACACACTTTAAATTTTGAATTATAGATTCAAAAGGAGTTGGAAAAAAAAAAAAAGAACAGGAAAGTCCACGGACTCTTCCCCCAGGTTCCCCCAATGGCAACATAACTATAGTGCAATATAAAAAACCAGGAAGTTGGCAGAATTTAGTCACACACAAAAAAAAAAAAAGATATTCTGAAAGACTAATGATAGACCAGACCCACTTACTGTAGAGGGAATGTTCCCAGAAACAAAGGTGCTCCATGGGCCTCCCACTCCCACATCCCAGAACAAGTGGAAGTACCAGAGTCAGGGCTGCCATATTCAAATGTTTTCCTGGCCACCAGGGAGCCTCTCCTGGCAGTGTGGGCCCGCTGGCTCTAGAAGGACCCTTGGAGCACAGAGGCTGCTGCAGAGACTAGAGGACAGACAGACTCACCCACAGCCTCGGGTGAGGAAACAGATCCACTCAGAGAGCAAATGAAGTGGCCTCACTTCCTTCCCTTTTGTCCTTGGTGAGGGGAGAAGGGGAGACTGGCATTGACTCAGCTGTGGGCAGTGGGGTGGGGAGGGCCAGAAGCGGGGTGTCCAGAGCATTCTGGGGCCTTTCCTCCTTAATTTGCCGTTTAGAACCGAAGGCCCAGTCCTGAACCACTTTCTCCACCACCTAGAGACAACGTGGTACTTTTAAGAATTTCATTCACCAAGCATTTTGCCGATGCCATTTGTTGATCCAGGAGCTTGCATTTTTCGAATCTTCTCACATTGCCATCCCACAGATTAGGGGACGGAGACTCTAGGAGATGCTAAGTGATTTTCCATAGGTGAGACAGATGAAAAGTGAACCTGGGGACAGATGCAGGTCTGTGACACTAATCTATCGATGTGGGGGACAAGGAGAAGCAGGAATAGGGCTCTGGTTCAGTTGAGAGTACAGGATTCTTTGACATCTTGAACTCAGTTGATCCTTTAAGACAGATGATGCTATGAAATAACTTTAACCAGATCCCCCAAAAAACTCTAGGCTCTGGTCAAGTAACTTACCCCACATTAACAAGGAAGCCAGGAATCAAACCCAGAGTCCAACTAGGGTCTGCTACACTCCAAGATCCTTATCCATCTGACCTTGCCACGGGGCTGTGGTAATGGCCTTGTTTTTACCCCCAAGTGTCCTACAGCCCAGCTGGAATCCAAAACCAACCCTCAGAAGGACAACATGACACAAAGCAGAATGGGGGAAAACTGGGCAGATCAGGAGGGAGATCCGCTGATGGGTTCAGAAGGGCAGTGAAATTCAGCTGTACCTTCAAGGGTGGGCATTTAGAACAGGTGAAACAGGATGAAAGGGAATTCTAGGAGGGAAAGTAAGGCATGAGCAAAGGTATGGTTGGAGGGGTAACAGGGTCAGTCATTAACCAATGATTTTAAATTAACATCTGCTAGAAACCTGGTCTCATCAGAGGTGAGCAAGAGCCAGAGAAGCAATGGAAGCCCAGCTTCATTTTGCAATTGAAGATCCACCTGGCCTTGCTTGGTGCCTCGATCCCTACCCCGGGCCTCTCTGGCCCGGTAAAATGATACATTTCCTCCTCATTTAAGTAGTGGTTTTCCATGTGTGGGCCCTGGACCAGCGTCATTAGAAATGCAGATTCTTAGACTTCACCCACCACTGCCCCGCCCCCGCCCCCGTCTGCTGACTCATACACTCCAGAGATGGGGGCCCTGCAAGCTGTTTACTTTTTTAATACTTATTTTTATTTATTTATTTAGCTGTGCTGAATCTTAGTCACCATATATGGGATCTTTTTTTCTGTGGCATGTGGGATCTAGTTCCCCGACCAGGAATCAAACCCAGGAAGGACCCCCTACATTGGGACTGTGGAGTCTTCACCACTGGACCACAAGGCAAGTCCCAGCAATTTGTATTTTAACGAGCTTGTTAGGCGATTCTGATGCCCACTGATGTGTAAGAACCAATGATTTAAATTAACTTGAGCCCCAGACGTAGGTTTTTGCTGCTCACAGTCTCCATTACAGTGGTTCTTAACCTTGAATACATATTGGAATCACTTTTTAAAAAATGCTTATGTCTCCTTCCCACAGCCAGGTATTCTGATATAATGGGCCTGGACTAGACCTGCTCAAGAAGATTTTGAAAAGGCCCAACTTATTCACATGTACATTTAAGTTGGAGTTCTAGCTGCAAGGGATACCAGAGGCTAATGCAGGAGTCTACGTGTTAAAGTGATGTTTGTCAGACCAGGGCTGTGGCCATGGCGATGGATACTTACAAGAACAACTAGAGACAAGAGGGAAGGGGGCAGGGCACAGCCACTAAAAAGATGGTATAGCCACTGAGGATACAACAAAAACTGGTTAGAACCAACTAGACTCGAGATGGCAGAAGATTTAACTAACTTCCAGTGGACCTGGAGCCTCACAATACAGCTTGCTCATTGAGATAGGTTCACATATGCTACATGACATACTCACCCAAGCCACGAAGTGGGCGGGTAGTCCAATTTCTGGAAATCTCCACCCCTTCCCCCGAAACAGTTGGAGTAACCCTCCCACTTGTTAGCCTGTGGAATTACCCAGCCCATAAAAACGAACCCCCCCAGATTCCGGGGAGCTCTCATTTTCCCACTTGACCCCTGCCCTGAGGCCACTCTCACCTTCTGAGACAGACCAGGCTCATGCTGGCTCATGGTGGCTCATGCATCCCACCACATGCTGTCTAGGGAATGTGCGCATGCGTGCGTGCTCAGCCGCTGAGTCGTGTTCAGCTCTATCCGGTGGGCTGTAGCCCACCAGGCTTCTCTGTCCATGGGAGTTTTCAGGGAAGAATACTGGAGTGGGTTGCCATTTTCTACTCCAGATGGAATGTGTACCTCTCTCAATAAACCTACTTTCACTTTACCGGGGCCGCTGTTGAATTCTTTCCCCCCGCAAAGCCAAGGACGCTCACTTCGTGGTCTGACCCAGAGGCTCAACCAAGCCTGGCACATGACCATCTCCCTGTGCCCCATTTTCCTGCAGCAAACTGGCCAGGCCTTGGTAACACACCAGAGGGCAGTGGGGAGTGGGGAAGAGCTGAAGACGACTGTTTTCCGAGGGCACAAGTGTCTGGATGGCGGTGCCCTTCCTGGGCCTGGGGAGCATGGGAAGGTTCAGGTTAGAGGGGGAGCCTGTGAGCTGCAGTCTCGGGAGCACTGGGCTCTGTTTTGGCTCCGTCCGGGTTAACGGAGCTGTGGTACTTTCGGGACGGGGAGGTCAGGGTGCGGCTCTGAGCGAGAGCAGCACAGATGCAATGGCAGGGCCCGGAGCTTGCCATAGAGTGAGAAGGGAAGTGGGCTGAGGAAGGGACCGGGGGTGGGGCTGAGGGGAAAGGCTCCCACGGCAGGGCCTGGGAGTCACTGCCAGCGGGGAGAAAGGAGAGCCTGGATTTGCAGGGAAAGAGTGATTCAAGAAGGAGGTCCAGGGGACTTCCCTGCTGGTCCAGGGGTTAAGTCTACGCTGCCAATGCAGGGGGCCCAGGTTCAATCCTTGGTCAGGGAACTAGATCTCACATGCTGCAACTAAAGATTCCACGTGTGGCAACTAAGACCCAGCATAGCCAAATAAATTAAAAAAAATTTTTTTTTTTAAAGAAAGAGGTCCAAAGGCCCTGGGGACACTGCAAAATGGTTGTTGGATTTGGCAGTGAGGGAGCCAAGTGACCTTGG